TTGGCTGGACATCTCTTTGGGACAATTTGCCCCCACGCTTACCCCTTGTCTCCTTCCCCTTGTGAAGCATAGTTCACACTTTGCTCCTATGTTCCCTGCGTATTTTTTAAATCATGAAGTTTTTCTCCTTCCCAGAAGCTCTCCATGTCTGCTGACTCTGAAAGGGGCAGAAAGAAGTGTGAGTTGCTTTTTACAGAGGGCTGAGCCACTGGAAGTTAGGAGTTAATTTACCGGGCAGTAGTTGTCTGTTTCCTTGGGAGATAAGAAGCTTAGTTCTGAGCAAGAGATGATTGATGCTTTCTGTCTTGCAAATCACAAAGACAAAAATCCAGGAAAATGGATTTGCAAAGATTATGAATATAAATGATGGCATGGGAATATGTAACATGGGAGCAAGGTTGCAGGCATGTATAGTTTTGTTTATCCATTTGCAACCGACTTTAACTGATATTTATCAAACATTTCTTATACTCAGTATTAGTGAGGTGTACTATGGAAAGTGACACTGTGTATTTCCTGCCCTCAAAGAATTTGTGAGTGTTACATACAAAGTACAGTAAGACAAAAATATTGAACACTGTAATCGAAATGCTCCTATTTTTAATTTAGATGCATTTCTGATTAAAGGTTTTATAATATCCACTGGAAATCAGTTGCCTATGCCACTTAAAATCTATTTTCCAGACTTCTGGACTTAAGATAACTATGTAAAGTCAATTTCCTTTTGACGGTCACTCTGAGAACATCTAGAAATACAGAAAAGCAAACTTCTTCTTGAATCAAACCCTTGCCATGAAATGAAATCATTAACTCCCAACCAGTACAGCCCGAGGATAGAAGACTGGTGTAATGACAAACGACTAGCAGAGTAGTCACTTAGGTGTCAAATTGCCCTGAAGAACTTCATAAGAGCTTAAGAATTACAGACATTTGGTTTTGCACATGGTGGCAAGCTGGCAGTGGCTGAAACAGGAAGGTGTGCTGCAAGTCAGTGTAGGGAACAACGGTCTCAGATCCCTCCCTCTATGGCCCCTCATAAGGTGAAAACGATCTTGACAGAATAGAACCAAGGAGCTTCAGACTTGATACTGCAGGCATAGATACATAGGAGAGCTATGACTGGAAATCAGAACTAAGTGAAAGCCTGCTGTCTACAATAAGGTCCTCAGACCCATGGCACTGCCAACCGAAAGCTGCTAGCAGGTCCAAGCACAAGATTGACCTTCCCGGGAGAAACTGAACTGCTGAAAAAGGGCTGCTTGGGTAGATTAGTGACAAGTCTCAACCATTCATATAAACTCCAGCATCTTTTAGTAACACACACACACACACACACACACACACACACACACACACACGTCAAGGATCACCAAATAGTTCAGAAAAGTTATTAATCTGAGAGCGAGGAAAAGAGAGAGAGTAAAAGATACTAGAATAAAAGGATGAAAGGAGGAGTTTGAATAGAGTTGATGCAAAGAGAAGAAAACAAAACTTTAAAAATATCTTGAAATATGTAAGAGAAAATAATGTCTTTCAGGAAAAAAGGATGAGGTACATATAAAAACATTTTGTGAAAATAAAAGCTAGGGTAGTAGAAAAATAGAGGCTTACAAAAATCTCTCCCCCCACAAAACAACAAGAATAGCAACAAACTAATGAGTAAATATCTAGAGGTAAAGGATAAGAAAGTTAGAAGCTCTATCAGGTAGCCCCATTAGCTGATCAATTAAAAACTAGAGAAAGAGAATTTAGAATACAGTGGAAGGGTTATGCCTTGGTTTGGGTTCCCTTTGAAACTGGCTTTTTAGACATGGATTGGAGCTCAAGTCATTTAGGAGAGACACTTCTAGGAACAGTAGGACTATAAGACTGTAGGACTGCAAAAAAGTGAAGTAGTAAGTACTACAGTTTGGGTCCTCAGTGTCCCCAGTGGTCCATGTTTGGAAGCTTAGTCCCCAACATGGTGTTACTGGGAGGTGTTGCAATCTTCATGAACTCAGGCCTGGTGGGAGATCTTGGGAGTGTGCCTTTGAAAGGGATTGTGGAACACCCTAACCACCTTCTCTCTTCTGTTTTCTCTCTTTTGCTTCCTGGCTACTGGTGAGATAAGTACCTTGGCTCTACCATGGTTCCCTACCTTGCCACAGGCCCAAAAGAAGTAGGCCCAGTTAACCATGGACTGAATCCTCTGAAACTGTGAGCCAAAATACAGTGGACCCTCAAGTTATGAACAATTGACATGAACAACTTGGGTTATGACTGGAATTTTAGTTTTAACTTATGACCAAAGTCTTCAGTTATGACCTGAATGCCGGCCGCTTGTGCTTCCAGATGGTCACAGATACAGACTTAACCCTTGAAGAGCTCTGAAAAGAACATGACAACATCCTTTCCTGTGTGGGGTTAACTGAGAAAATCCTGAGCTAATGTCTCTCTGAGGACGCTGACATCTGCTTAGAAGAAAGTTAAAGTTATACAGGCAAGAGAGAGACTTTGAAGGCAGTTGGTCAAGTTAAGCTATAACTAGCCCTCAGGAATGACTTGAGTTCATAACTAAGGGTCCACTGTAAACTTTCCGTCTTTACAAGTTGTCTCAGAGATTTGGTTTCAGTAGGAAAGCTAACACAGAGGTTAAAAAAGGAAAAGGCTCATAAAATATGTGTGTCCAACAAAATTGGAGCTCAATCCAGGAGACAGTGTGGAATACATGCGAAAAACTGTGTTCATTCCACTACTTCTTTTGTACCCCTCTTTAAGTGTGGTTTCCAGAGATACCTTATTCCAGTGCAGGCTAAATGTGCTCCTTGTGACCCAGGAGAAAACTCATGCATGCAGCATCCCAGGAGAAAACAGCGAGTAGCTCTAGAGGCTTCTTAGGACTCCTGTAAGAAATAGCCACAAACTGTGTGACTTAAAACAACTGAAACTTATTTTGTCACAGTTCAAGAGGCTGTAAGTCTAAAATCAATACCTCAGCAGGGTTGGCTCCATCTGAAGGCCATAGGGAGAAATCATTCAGAGTCTCTCTCGTAGCTTCTGGTGGCTGCTAGTAATCCTGAGCATTCTTTGTCTTTAGGGACACATCACTCCGATCTCTGCCCCCAAAGCTTGTCACATTGCCTTCCCTGCACGTCTCTGGGGACTCTGTCCCTTTTGGGAATAAGGACCCCTCTGACTGGCTTTAGGGCTCTAGGCCAGTGTCACCTCACCTAGCTCCATGAGTCTAACGTCTGCAAAGACCCTGTTTTCAAACAAGGTCACATTCTGAGGTTACAGGTGGGACGACACCTGAGGAGACACCATTCAATTCACTCTAGCAGTCTTCAGCATGGAGGTGAACGCTGAAATGATACAGTCTAAAAACACCAGCATTTGCAACAGAAATTACCCAAGAACAATGTAAGGTAATTGATAAGGCCTTAAAAACATGAGTCTGCAGGTTTAAGGGTCTCACTAAACATGTTTCTCACATAATGGTGTAACTAAATGCACCATCATGAAATTTCAGAAGGCCAGGGATAAAGAGCACAACATTCCCCAAAGCGAATGCACACACACACACACACACACACCCCTACATGGACACATACATCATATATGAAATATGTAGCAGGTATCAGAATGTCGTCAGGGTGGCTAAGAGAAAGGCCAGGGTTTAAGGTGAAAGAGACCATGGTCCAGAATGGAGCAGAACAGTGGACTCAAGGAAGTATGTTCCCAAGAAGAAGTTGAAGCAAGGGGGTTACAAATTTTGCATTGGAAAAATTGTTCTGAAAAATGTTTGAAAGAGTTACTTGGAAGTATGAGGTTCATTGATTTACATAAAACAGCAGTGGTAAGGAAATCAGTTTAAACTCTAGGCGAAACAAAGGTAATATATAAAATTAAGTGTAATGACAGAACACCACTGACTGAACCCAGGAAGTATTTACAGAGTCAGAATAATAAAAGCACCGATGTATATTTAATAAAAGTTAGAATAATTATATTGAAATGAAATGTAGAATTAAAATCATCAAGTCACTTATGTCTAAATAATTCAATGGACAGTATCTACATTTGAGAATTTGAGAAAAAGCTTACACTTTTTTTTTAAAGCATGAAATATTTCTAGGTCAAAGGATGCATCTTGAGACTAGACTTTTAAGTCAAATAAATGGGGCATATGTTTCATACCAAATTGTTTCTCTGGTGTGAGAAACTGAAAGTGGAAACAAGGACTAAAATGTATAATAGATGTTGGGAAATGGGAAGAAAACGTTCAAATGGGAAGGGGAACAAGGGAGGGGAGGAAGGGATGAGGAAAAGGAATAGAAGAAAAACTGAAAACAAAGCTTTTGTAAATAAGGAGGGATGAAAGGTTGAAGGCAGAGGAGGACAATGGGGAAAAACGAAGGAAGATATATCACGAGTGGGTACAAATTCCCTGTAATGAATGTCATCATCATGCATATCCAACATGAATCAATAAAATGTTTGACAATAAATAAAACGGAAATGCAGGGCACTAACCAGAACAGCTGGAGTTTAAAGTTGTTGTTCCTCGGGAGATCAGGAGACACTGGGAGAATGAGTGTTGGGGTGCTGTGTATGTCTTGGTGACTTTGGGCTTTGGTTCTGTCCATTGAGTCCCAATTCTCCAGCTTTCCTATTAATCCTGAGGGCTGCCTCGGAGGACTTCCCTGCCGTATGACCACAAAAATAGTCTCTCAATGCACTGTGAACTGAAATTGTGCTACAACTAAGAGCTTAGGGCACGCCATGGCAGAAGTGGGGCGCACTGGTGCGGCTAACCCAGTGCACCGTCCGGGCACAGCCTTCGCATGCCCACTGTGAACAAGAAGCCACATCCGGCCCTCCCCGTGTTGTCTCCCGCATTCCCGTGCTCACGGCACACACGCTGGTCACACCAAGCTTTTGCAGTTTTCCTTGTTCTCCTCCTGCTCCCATGCTCTCAGCACCACCCTCATGCTTTTTAATAGCCTCCTGGCTCTTCCTCCTTACCCGGCAAGACTCAGCTCGGTGATTCCTTCCTCGGCCTTATCCAGGTCAGTAGGCTGGCCCGAACAGTCCTCACCTCCACATTCGCACTTAAAACGTCGCACCAGGACTGTGATGTCACTTCTGCACCTTCCCTTCCACCGGAAGCTTCTTACAGACTGCAACTGTGTAGCAGTCCTCTTTGCACCCGGCACTCACATGATGCATTGACCTGATCGACTTAGCTCTGCCTGCATGTGGCAAAGCTTATTCCGGTGTTTCAACTGTCTATCTCTTGCAGCATTAAAAACCCCTAAAAGTATTGCTTAAAACAGTAATGCTTTATTCTTTTACGATTCTGAAATTTGGGTGTGACAAGCAGACACAACTTGTCGTTACTTTATGTGGGGTTAGCTGAGGTCCCACGTGTGATTCCATGGCAGAGCTGAAACAGATTTCAGTACTGTGTGTGAGCTCAGTCGGGATTGGCAGGGCCAGCAAGGGCTGGCCAGCCTCTGGGTCCCTGCAGTTCCTCTTCGTTTAGTGGTTCGGCTAAGTCCCTGTTCGTGGGAACCAGATCCCAGGAGAACAATAGCAGAAACTGAGAACTCCTGAGGCCTCCTTTCAGGTGTCACTTCTGTCACTCACTGCGGATCGGAGCAGGACACAGGCCGGCCCAGTCAGGGATGAGAGATCAGTTCACCTCTTGGTGAGAGCGGTGACAAGTGCATTCAAGGGTGGGATAAGCTGTTGGCATCTGTCCTCACCAACCATCTACACTGTAGAATTCCATCACTGTGTGGCTGCACCAGGCAATTCCGTCACTCTATTTTTAAATAAAATATCTTCTGTGGATTAGATCATTAGATGAATTAAGAAGTTTGAGGAGGTGCCTTGTATTGCATACGTTATTTTAATTTCATAGATAAAATGAATGACTGAGCCAGCCAATCAGGATATTTGAACAGCCATATCTTAACCGGGTGCTCATATGGCTTCTTCACAGACTACAAGGAGACAAGTTGTGTTGGTAGAAAAGCCAGTGGGGAAAAAAGGCTCGAATGTAACTCACCAACAGCACAAACTTCCCCTGGAAAATTACTTCCCTGAAATTTCTGAAAGTATTAACCATCTTCAACCAAAATGGAAAATAATGTCCACATTTAGAATGATACATCGTAGGTAGCCATTCTATCTTGGGACAGACTTCTACACACTAAGGCTGTAGAAAATAAAGGATTCTAACAGAATAATGAATAGATATACCTACATTTTAGACATGTCCATTACACTAATTAAAATCTAGTATAGTCACAGCTTTTTAATTACTTTCCATCATTGCTGCAGTCAATGAAGTTAGCTTTATTACCCGCTATACTATCTCACTTGTAATAAATCTTCATAAAACCTGAAAAGAGTGTCTAGTTCTAAAATCCCAGCGATAGGCTTCGCTTGGAGCAGGAGGCACAGTTGAGCTTTATTTGCCAGTTACCTGATAAAACAAACAATGCAAATAAAATAAGACTGGGTAGAATTTATGCTTTATCTTTATTTGAATATTTTAAATTTTTCAATAGTCTTTAATTTTATCTTTTTCAATAATATCTTTATTAATAACCACTTGAACAGAAGATTCGAGGCATTGGTTGAGGCTTAAGGTAACTATGCAGAAAGTCTGAAATCTGGGGCCCTAGTTTTGGGTCTGCAACTTTTTAGCTGTCCGAAATCCATATGCAAGTCCCTCAAACTCCCTGAAATTCTTTATTTTCTTTAGTTGCATGAACTGATCAGCTCAGCTTCTCTGCTTCTTCTGCAGATGAGAGAAAAATGATGAAAGTGCTTTGTAAACTATAAGTCCCTAAGATGCTAGGAAAGAAATTGATGAAACAATAAATGAGACAGTAGAAACCATAAAGAATCGAAGGTAGGTTTGCACATTCACTTATGTAGCCATTTAATATGTATTGAGTGTCTCGTACATGCTAGGCACTGTGCTGAGGGTTGGAGATTAGTGGTGAAAAAGACGGGGGAGCCACCCCACTCCCTGCCTAAAATGGGAGAGATAAATTAAATGAGAGAGCACATTCCTAACAGCTCTATAATAACAGTGGAAAAGAACAGGGCCTGGTGCGCGAAAGCAACAAGGACTGCTGACTGGTAAATGTTCCTCTCTGGGGGCTGAACCTGCAGAGGGATGGAGTCAGACGAGCATTAAAGGGATCTGCAGAAAGGCCTAAAGCAGGAAGCAGCTCCAGGGAAACAAGTGTGGAAAAGCACAGAAGAGGTGAGGAGCAACACAAGGTAAGGAAGGGATTTGCTAGGAGAGGGCTTTGGTTTGATTCCAAGGGCCCATGAAGATGAATGAAGTCTTTTAAGCAGAAGGCTAATGGGTTTTACGATGCAAGAGTGGCTTTGCTCAGGGCTTGTGAGGGTCAAAAGCAGAAAGAGGAAGCTAGGGCCCAGGAGAGTGCTAAGAAGGTTGGCTTGGACAAAGAGACTAGCAGAGGCAGTGGGGATGAAACTGATTCGGGATGTATGTCAGAGGTGGAACTGGCAGGACCTGTGGATAGAATAATTACAATCGGGAAGCCAAAAAGGAGACTGCAGAACTTCTGACCTGAACAACTGTGGTGACTGTGGTGGAGTTTCAACTTGCTTGACCTTGGGATGTCCTGGGGACTGGTGGAGTCCATGTGTAGGTGTGTCTGCGTGGTCATGGAGATGAGGCCTTGGGATCCACATCCGGCCCTGGCCCTCTCCTGTCTGGCACCGTTCCTTCACTCTGCTCCCCAGAGCCGTGAACTAAGAAGCTTTGCTTCGCCGTGCCCTTCCACGCTACATCTGTGTCCTGAAGCCAGCCCACCGTGAACTGCAATCATGAGTGAATTAAACCCCTCCTCCTTTACATTATGGGTGTTAGGGACTGAATCTCCATGGTGATAAAGCTGACTAGAAAGGTGATTCTGCTATTCTTAAAATGGGGACGCTGAAATAAATTTGCAAGAGAAATATAAATACACCATTGTGGCATGTTGAATTTGACATCCAAAGGTGGCAGCTCCTTAGAGGGTCAAGGTAAGGGAGAGCAAGGTTGTAAAATCCCAAGAGGGCAGACTCACACTTCCAAACACCCACTGGCACAGGTCAGGTGGACAGCCATGGGTCTGCAGCCCAGCTGAGAGGCCAGGCTTGTGACTGGCTTGGTGAGTGGTTCTCTTTTCCAACCATAATCAAACCTTTACCATTTCCTCATGAAAACTGGTATCCAAGTTGCCAGTTCTACCCATATATCTTTGGTCTAAGGTTAGGGCAGAATCTTCAGAGAGATGCAGCATCTCACTGTTGGCAGAGAAGGAAATGTGTAGCTCCTTTTTCCTCCCTCCTTCCCTCCCTCCCTCCCTTTATCCCCTCCTTCCTCCCTCCAGCCATCCCTTTACCCCTTCCTTCCAAACCAGAGAACGATGTATTAAGAAGTGGTAAAAATTGTGGCTAGTTGTAGAGACTAGGTATAAGCTCTTCTAGGCAAGCAACACAGATGTCAAACACCTTTCCCTCATTAGGTCTGTTGGGTCTCCATGTAGGAGTGATAAATAATCATAACTGCTTATGTTTTCCTATCTATAGGTACCAACCTGGTGATGGTATGATTCCTCTTTCTAATCCTATTTTATGATTGAATTAAAGGAAAATGGTTTGACTCAGAACATCTTATAATTTCCCATATTGTTTTTCTGGTCCAGGTAATACTGATACTCTCCCTTACTTGATATTGCTGAAAACTTAAATAACTGAACTTATGCTTCAGAGCAGCAGTCCCCAAGCTTTTTGGTACAAGGGACCACTTTCTGAAAGACAATTTTCCACAAGTGTGGAGAGGTTGGTTTTGAGATGGTTCAAATACGTTATGTTTATTGTGCCCTTTATTTCAATTTTATTACATTGTAGTAGGTAATGAAGTAATCGTACAACTCACCATGATGCAAAGTTAGTGGGAGCCCTGAGCTTGTTTTCCCACAGTGGATAGTCCTATCAATTCACACATCACTTTGAAGCCAGACACCAGATGCAGCTTGCCACTTAGTCACTTGCAACTCACTGATGGGGTTTGATCCGAGTCTGCGAAAAATGACTTTATTATGATCTTTGTGAAGTCAAACATCTCTGCTAATGCTCATGTGCATCTGCAGCCACTCCCCAGCACTAGCATCACTGCCACAGCTCCACCTCAGGGCATCAGGCATTGGATTCTCAGGAGCAGCTCACAACCTAGGTCCCTTGCATGCAATTCACAGTCAGCTCTCTGCTGCTGTGAGGGTCTAATGACCTGACAGGAGGCAGAGCTCAGGCCATCATGCAAGCAGTGGGAAGTAGCTGTAGATACTGGAGAAACTTCAACAGCTCACCAGTCGCCTCCTGCTGTACAGCCTGCTTTTGATCAGGCTACAGACAGGTAAGCACCACTTCTGGTACCTGTCTGTGGGCCAGGTTTGGGAACACTTGGGAGTTTGTTAAAGAACTCCCACACAAAACAGTATCCGTTTGAACATAAGTTGTGGAGCTTTTGCAGACTCTGTGACCTCAAGCTTGCTCCACACTATCTCTCAGCCTTAGTTTTCCCATATGGGAAATGGTACTAGGTACCTTGTACTGAGAAAGTGAAATAGATTATTCTGAGCAAGATGCTGAGCATGCTATTAGAAGTCCATGTCGTTACCAGGTTAATAGCTATCTCTGAATAAGGTGGAAGTCAGTTGCTATGGTTACGGGGGTGACACTTACCTGGGAAGGCCTAGTGAAGTGGTGATGTTCAGTGAAGTTTAATCTGTAGGAAGTTTTTGAAAATTTCTTCCAAGGAACTGACAGAGAAACCTTACTACCAAGAAAGAATAGACATGTTGAAGCCAGCATTATTCCCTAGGGTCTTGTAAGTCTGATTACTGTCTGAGTTTACCATGTTGTGGTAGTAGTCAGCTTTCCATTCTTGAGACCAAATACCCAGCATGCCGATTTAAAGGAAGAAGATTGACTTTGGCTCACTGTTTAGAGGTTTCAGTTCCTGGCTGGTCAGCTTTGAAGCAAAACATCAAGGTCGGTGAGGCATGGAAGAGAAAAGCTGTTCACCTCCTGGCAGCCAGGAGCAGAGGAAGAGGAACAAGCCAGAGAGAGAGCAAGAGATACCCTTCATAGGCAGCCCCAGAAACACACCTCCTCCAGCAGGGTCCCACCTCCTCCCAGCACATTCAGCTACTCACCAATGCATTAACCCACTGTGGAGGTCAGCAATCCATGAGCCAATCATCTTCTAGATGCCCATTCTCTAAATACAAGAGACTTCTGGGAAACATTTTGATCCAAACCCTAACATGTTACCTTGGTGACCACAAGGCTCCCACAGGCACCCAAGATGAAGGAGGGAAAACAGATGAGTCCTAATACTTGTAGACTATAAAATATAATAGTAAGCAAGCAAAGAACTCCTTGAAAACCATAGCATATTACACATAACTGTGAAACCCTGCTGCAAAAGGCAAACTACTCGGAGAGACAGAGAGAGAGAGAGAGAGAGAGCGAGTGCATGTGTGTGTGCATGCGTGCATGCGTGCATGAGTGCGTGTGTGTGTGTGCGTTTCTGGAATCAAATACAGGGCCTCACACATGTACCCCTGACCCACATCCTCAGGCCAACCATTTAGATGTTTAATCATGCATTATTTTTTCTAATTATTTTCCATCCATGATACCCTTTTATTCATATGAGATACTCAACTATTTTACAAATATGTCATGAGCACCTGTGTCATACTTGACCTTAGACCACACTGCAAACTCACTGGGTAGGCAGGGGAAAACCTGGAAACGAGATAGGAAATGAATGACTTCCCTGTAAGGAATAGGGCTGCTATTGCTTTGTTCTTAACCAGTACTATCTCTGACACTCAGCAAACCTGGAGAGAGGGAGTGTCACAGACCCTTGGAGTCCAAAGTAGTCCTCTGTGGGTTTGAACCCGAGCTCTATGGCTTGTGGCATGTGCCTTTATTTTAATTTTGCTGCAGCACACATCTGAATTGCTGTGAGGCTGTGCTGTGTGGGTGGTTGGCACATGTGGTATCTCTGCCTGCCTGCCTCCTCTTTTCCGGACCTCAGTGAGTGTCCCAGGGGCTTGCTCAGAGGGACCACACTTCAGCCATTTGATGCTGCCTCAATAATGAGAGCATCAGTCAAGGAAACCAGCCCTCTGCTGAGAAGGGTCTTGGTGTGTGATCACAGTTCAGTCTCTCTCCAAGGAATTCTAGTCTTGAAACTAGAGATACATGTGCTAATGATTAGAGAGCACCTGGCTTTTCAATGGTATCCTGGAAGTGACATCTGTTTATCTCGACGACTTTCAGTAGGGTCTGCTAAACTTTCCCTGTAAAAAGACAGAGAGTAAATATTTTAAGCTTTGGGGGCCACAAGGTCTGTGCCTCAACTATCTGCCTCTGCTGTTATCAAGAAAGAGCAGGTGCTCACCTTGTACAGATGAGCATTGCCCATGTTCCAGCAACTCTGTAAGAAAGCAGGAGGCCAAATTTACCCCGGGACACAACTGCAAGACCCAGAGGCTCACAAATGTTCTAGGGCCTGCTCTTCACTGACTTTTCAACATTACTTCTTTGAATTCTCCCTTATCCTTCTAAGTCAATTTCTTTCTAAATTTAATGTCATAAGAGAAGTTTTCTGTAGCTTGCCACCAACAAACCCCAGCCAAGAGTGAGTCTCTTGGTCAATGAGTGGATCTAGCTGATCTAACATCCACCTACCAGTGAAGCTTTCTCTGAGTATCTTCTGTAAGTGTACAGAATAATAATTGGGAAGCTTTTGATAAAACAGTGTTTTAGGAAAACAGCTAAGCCTGGTGACATAGGCAAACATGAAGTGAAGAGTCTGCCAAAAAAGAATGGTTTAGGAAGATGTTTAGCATAAATTAAAGAAATTAAATGTTGAATTTGGCAGTGGTTCAATTTTATTATTTAAATGTCTTCTATAATTAAACAAATGGTGAGTTCATAACATTATTTTAGTAAATATTCCAAAGAGATTTTATAATTGAGATACGAATAAAGAGGGGAATATAAGGGTAAGTAATGGGGGGATGGATGTGAGCAAAATGTATTATCCGCATGGAATCCCCAAAAGTGTGAAAGTGGGGGAGGGAGCAGGGCAGGGGGATGATGGAAGGGTAGAAATAATCAAAGTATTTTATGTGCATGCATGAATCTGCCAAAGCAAAACCCATTGGTCTGTATGTACCACCAATAAAAAGAAGTGAAAGAAAATAAAGCAGTACTATTCTAGCAGAATTTTTAACTTTTTTAAAGGTTTAAAAATGTAAAAGTGAGATTTACTTGTGGAGTAGGCTAAGCCTGGCAAGCCTGAACTTTTCACATTGCAAGTTTCCAAGAGTACAACCCAGGGCCCTGGGAGGTCTCAGAGTCTGTTCTTCCAGAGCAGCAAGTGTCCCTCTGACCACAACACTCTCCTTTCTGCCTCCTACTGGTGTGCATCGTGTGTGGAGCAAGCAGACCACATCATCAAGTTTTCATAGCATGGCGCTGGAGAGAACAGAAAATGAGCACTTTCCCGCCCTGCACTGATGATCCCTCTAGCTGAGAGGACAACATTACCACCCAGGAACACCCAAGCAGGCCACCGTGGTCTGGTTGACAGGGAGAGAACAGGGCACTCAAGGCTCTGATGGTGCTTGTCATGGGAGTGAGGTGAAATGTGACTTGTGTCTTGCAACATAAAAGTCACTGCTTCTAGCCATCAAAGTCCTCTGTAGAGCCCAATTCCCCATGTCACACAGGAAGTAGGTGCAGGGAGGCTAAGTGGCATTGTCTGAGGCCCTTCCTCTCATCCTGGGTGTCCTTGGGCCTAGAGGCTACTGCTCCTAACTCTATCTCCAGGGCTTGGCTCTCTCAGGAGCTCTGGGGACCTGACTCTGGGTCGGAGTGAGGGTGTTGTTCTGACTCTGTGAGGAAGTATGCAGTGACTAGACCCCTTCCTGGGCACTTTGGAAATTCCCTTTGTGGGGTGAGGAGGCAGTCTCAGCTCAGGGACCTCAGCAGGGAACAGAGAGCTGGACTTTCACGACATTGTTTAGACTTCATCGTGTGTCTCTCTTTGACGATTAGTTTTTCCGTTTACAGACATAAAAAATCTCATTTAGAAGTGCAAAGGGGGTGAGGGGCTTCTGTCCAGGCTCCTGCCCTCCCCCCAACCTCTGCTTGGAAGGACCGGGGAATCAAACTTGGGTCTTTGCACTTGTGAGGCAGGCGGAGGCACCACTGAACCAAATCCCTGGCTTCACAAACCTCTGCTCGGATGTGAATCACGAAGAGCAGGGAATGATAGCACGCTGTGTCCAGACATAGGTTTGAAATAACTGGTCTAGAGGGAAAGTCTGCTGAGCCCAAATGACCATTGCAGCCAAGGTCCTAATCATTCCATTTAGTAGCTGCCTCCCATGTGTGCGATACTCTGCCAGGACTTCTACAGACACTCTGATTGTTGCAGCAACACTGCCATGTAGGTGCTATTTTCTGCATTTCAGAGAAGGAACCTGGAATTAGTATGTTCAATGCACCCTAAAAATAAGTTGCAGAGCAGAAATTCAGGCAATCTCTAGCGGGTCCCAAAAGCAATGTCCTTTGCTGCCTTCTACACCTCAGAAAATGTCTTCTGCAGTGCCCAATTTTCTGTGTCCCCACCCTCATGCCTCAAACCAGAAATGAGCTGAATATACTTCCTCAACAAAGTCCATCCTGTTCCAGCCAAGTAGCGCAGCCCCACAAGAGTCCCCAGAGCCAAATTAACCAGGATTTGGAATGGAAGCCATACAACCAACCCCTGTGCACTTGACTGCAAATTACAACTCAGCTGGGCTGGTGGCTAGAAAAAGCATGTGAGACACACAGACAATAAACAGCAGCGTTTGGACAGGCGAGCAAGGCATTAAATAATGGAAGGCAGTGAATACAGAGTGAGGGGCCAAGTCTACACAGCTGTTTATGAAACTGAGAAATGGAATATTGATGTTTTGTTCCAGCACTGAGAGCTTTTTGGTTAATTACATTTCTGGGTGAAGTCAGAGAAAAATATGATACATTTTTCAGGGAACACAATAATTTTCAGTCATTTACTGGAAAATTGGTAACTCTAGCTTTCCTGCTTTCTATGAAACCTGGAAGAGCATTCTGTTGACTGAAACACTGAAATGTGTGGTGCTGATATGTCAGACTCGTATTACTTATTCGTTGAGACCTTGCTATGCGCCAGGCAAAGATCCATCTCAGAGCCTACAGTTGGGTGAACAAATCCAGAGATAATGAGGTCTAGAATAAGATTCCATCTCTTCCCTATGAATCTCTGCCTTACGCTGCATAATTTTTTCCGTAGCACTCATCAGAAGTGAAAATTACCTTTTTATTTGCTCTCATGCTTATTGTCTGTCTCTCAAAGCAGAATGCAAATGCCCATGAAGCAACCATTTTTGTGTATTGGTACTTCCAATGCCTAGAATGGTGTCTGTCATATAATGTGTATTAGTTCCAAGTGCAATGGAGGCAATAAGGAAAAAAGGAGCAAATTTGTCCAGGGTGAGCCGAGTGTTATGGCTTGTATCTAGATGTCCCCCTAAGGCCTCATGCCCTCAGAGGTGGGGCTTTTTGGAGGTGGGTCAATGTAGGGTGTGTGAGTGTGGATTGAGGGTGTGATGCTGGGATTAAAGGTGTGTGGAATAGTCCATTATTTGGTTTAGCATAGTTCTGAGTGACACCAGCCAAAAGTCAGGCAGCCTGGATGGAATATAAAGAAACCGAAAGAAAGTGCTT